AGGGAAATTTACATAAGTTGCATACTATTCTTATCTATTTATATGCCTCACACTTAAATTTTTATAATTAAATCTATGCATTAAAATGTGTATTTCACTCTTGAAAGGTAAAAATAGTGTTATTTTTATGTGATTTTAAGATCTGAGTGCTATGTGTCTAAATATAGAAGTTTTGGTTTGAGATATGTAAATACACAAGCAAATGTTTGTTATGCATGCAAATACCACTATTTCTTGATGAATTTTTTTACTTCGCTTAATACAAGTTAATCATTTAATATACCTTAAAGAATTAAGAGATAATAAATCACAAGATAAATGTGAATTGAAGAAATGCCTAATCTAGGCACCTGAAATCAAATCATATGAAATATCATCATAATAGATTATCAAATCATAGACACAGACATACAGACATACATACAGACACACAGACATGCACACATACAGAACACACTAACGCAGACACACAGTTGCGTTGTCAGTCATAAGACCCCTCTCAACCAGGTTCGATCCCTACAGGGACAGCTAACACGTATTGGGAGCGGTATTTTCAAATACCACCCTTTAAAATTTATATAGTTTTTGTTTTTTCAGAAACTAAGGGAGTCGATTTCTTTTAATGAGTTGGAATTGAATCCGACTCTATGAAATTCAAACTAGACCTGACACGAAAAACAATTCAGACATATCAACTTACCATCTTTCTAAAACAAAAAAAATTGTGTATTTACATACATACTACATAATTCTCATGTATTTACATATCTAACTCTTCAATTTTCATATATCTATTCTCTTATTAAATAAATAAGAAATATGGCAACATAAAGAGATTCAATTTTTTTTTTTCTTTTTTAGGGAAGAAACAAGCCTACATTATAAAATCAAACTATTAAGGTCTAGATTTATGATTTGACCCACATTATACCTATTATTCTATTCATCATAAGTGTTGACCCAACACGATCTGAATCCTTTTAAAGGTTGACCAAAATAAATAATTTGTGTCAATGTTATCTATCCAGTCAAATTTTCATAATCAATTTTATAAATTTATCCACGAAGTCAAAGTCCTTTAATTTCAAAAGTATTTATAAAAAAGGTTAATTCATGCCCTTTTTATGTTTTTTTTTTTAAGGATAAAAATATAGGGTCTGTTTGGGGCAGCTTGCGTGTTTCACGATAAGCATATTATCCTGAAACGCGGGTCGCGGTAGACCACTGGGGTCGAGTCGCAGCCTGCATTTAATGTAAAAAACTCAAACGCGGCAAGCAGCGTTTTAAAAAACGAGCAAACCAAACGGTTAGACGGCGTTTTCAACAACGCCGTTGCACTTATAAACTGCCCCAAACGGGCCCATAGTTACATATTAATTTACATAAATAATATTATCAATTCATTATTTAAAAGGACCATTAAGATAAATACCGCTCAATTATTTACTTAATCTAAAACCTAAACCTCAATTTGTACATATATGTCATATTACCTATGCTTGAAAAGTGTATTTCAGTTTTTAAATGTGAAAATAGCGGTATTTTTATGTATATTATATAAAAAGGGTGTAAACGAGCCGAACACGAGCTGAGCCTGGGCACGAGCAGGGCTGGGCTCCTGTTCGACTCGTTTATATTTCGAGCTCAAAAAGCGTGTTCGTGTTCGGCTCGTTTGCTTAGCGAGCCGAACACGAGCCGAACAAAGAGTGGTTTTGACAACCCTAATCACGTAGTCATAAGATGCTAAGAATTGTGGCAAGGTTTAAAACATCATTTGAATCTAATTTAATAATTTTTATTTTATTTTCTTCATTAATACTTTTAATTGATTATAAATCTTTGTAGCCTTGTAGTCAATGAATTTTTTTAAAAATACTACTCATCAAAGATACATATATAATTGATTAGTAGTATTTCGAGCCAAAACGAGTCGAACACGAACGAACAAATATTGGTTCGTGTTGTTCCTGTTTGGCTCATTAACTTAGCGAACGAGCCAACACGAGCTTCTTAATAAGCCGAACACGAGCTGAAATTACACACACACACACACACACACACACACACACACACACATATATATATATATATATATATAACTCATAATGTTAAATGATTTTAATTAAGAGTATAGTTTGACCATTCAAACTTTAGGAAACAAGTTACATTTTTAAGTGCTAGCTGTAAAAATCATTATAATTTAAAGCTTATAAATTCTATATAGTTCCACGCATGCCATTTTTTATTTTTATTTTTATTTTTTTTATTTTTTTTTAGTCTTCTTTTAAACTCTTCTCCATATTATAATAAATAAGAAGAAAATAATAATAAAGCTGTAACACACTAATTAATAAATCATTAAATATCTCACTCTTTTAAGAAAAAAAAATCAAATTTATTATCCAAAAAAATAAATAAATACATAATTATTTGAATGGAGAATTGATTTCGAATGTCAACTGTCTTTATCACCACTTGTACTCAAGCCATCATTTTTTCAATATTCCCTTCCCTTTATACAATTAGTTTTTTCAACTCATTATGAAAAGATTTCAAAGGGAGATTAGTAATTTAATTGAAGAACTTGATTTTATATGCATTTGATTTGATCATATTGAAAATGATGTTAAGCTAGCAATGATTAAGACGAAGAAGTAATCGCAATCAAAGCAAAGTGATTAAATCATGTATATATTGTTACATCTTCTTACGACGTAGTGTCTGTGAGTGTTGCCAAAATTGCCTACGTAGTATTGTCTCATGTTGTCTGTGCGTGTCGTGAAAAACGATTATGAGAAAACGAAAAGAACTGGAACGAGAAATTCACAAATAGAAAAGCGGAAAAACACACAGATTTATGGGGTTCAGCGAATTGTCTGCGTGCACGGAGTCACCAAAGAGCTACAGCCGAAGTCACCAAAAGGGGGGAGAAAAAAGCTTTGTTGTATCCTGCACGAAAAGCCACGCCAAAGAAACCAATGGAGCATATCATGCGAGAAGGAGAGGCAGCTTACTCCAGTCTTCCCTGTTCCCGAAATCCGAACTGAAGAAGAAGTTTAAGAGGAGATATATCTTGTAATCGTCGAGGGATCGATGGGTGTAAGCCTCAAATAAATAAAATCATCGGCAACTCTACGGACTTAGGCAATTTGCTGAACCACATAAATCTTCTGTTTGCCAAATTCTCGTTCAGTTTTTCGCTTTTTCGCAATCGTTTTTCACAACAGTGCATTCATACAACTCGGGAAAGATTATGTTTTTGGAGGAAAGTAAAGAAGATGATGGATGCGTTGCTAGAGCTCAAATTGGTCATACATAAGGAATGATGAATTCTAAAATTACATCATTGACGGGGTACTACGTAAGTCATCGGTGTCATGATAAAAGGATTATGAAGTGGCGTGTCAGACGTCATAAATATGGATGGATATATGTACTCTAATGTAATGATGATTTTCTTAAGCAGCTGATTCGCTCCAGGCTCAGTTTGACAATTTCGGCAGGTGGGCTTAATTCAAGATTAACCAGGTAGAAGCTTTACATGGGTTCATGTCCTTATTTATGTATATATATATATAATAAATATGACTCAATGATTGACTCAATACTTACCAACTACATAAAGCTTAAAGCTCTCCCTTTATAAGCCACCCCAACAAAGGCAGACTTGTTTCAGGCCTCAAGCTTCATTTAATTCTCATAAGATTATAGATCATTTTCATAAAATTAAATTTTTATAGAAAATTTAGAGAGAAAAATGAGGCTGAGGACAAGTGAGAAGCAGAAGGTGAGTTTCAGAAAAGGGCTTTGGTCACCTGAAGAAGATCAGAAGCTGAAGGATTACATACTGCAGTATGGCCATGGATGCTGGAGCTCCATTCCTGCAAAAGCTGGTTCCTTTCTTCTCTTATACCTCTAAATCTTTTCATTAGTATGTAAATTATTTATATGTGGATTGTAATTTTGAAAATGTTGGATTGGGTAGGATTGCAAAGGAATGGGAAGAGTTGTAGGCTGAGATGGATAAATTATCTGAGGCCAGGGCTTAAAAGAGGGATTTTTACATCAGAGGAGGAGGAGATCATACTGAGCCTGCATGCCAAGTTGGGCAACAAGTAAGGATTTTAATTTTCTTTATTTATTTTCATTTTAAATTAGAGATTTTTATTGGTGTAATTTTCTAAATTATGTAATTTTTTAGATTATATTGTTGTATAATATTGTTGTAATAATTATATGAGCTTAAATTATTTTCAAATTATACTAAAAAACTATAAAGGACATAATTTAGTTAGTGGGAGGGTTATTTTCATGAAAAATCTAAGTTAAGTTTTATATCTCAAAAAATTCTAATAGGGTACTGTTTTGCATTAGATCAAGGTGAAATATCAAAATGGGATTTTTTTATATGATTTAGGGTGCGTTAGGGGCAGCTTGTGCGTTTCAAAATAAGCTGCTTATCCTAAAAAGCGGCCCGCAAGCAGGCCGTGGAGTTCGGTCTGCGTTTAGTAAAAAAAACCCAAACGCAGTTTTGGATAACCTCGCGAAACGCACAAACCAAACGGTATGATTACGTTTTCAAAACGCCGCCCGCACTTACAGGCTGCTCCAAACGGGCCCTTAATAAGACAGACTAACAAAATAATAGTGTTAAAGATTAAGATATACAAATGAATTACTAAAATTAAAAATTATATTAGTAAATGGAATTGATTTTAGTTCTTTAAATTAAAAAAAAGCAATTCATATTTAACATATAATTTCAATAAAATGTCCTTAGTTTTATCAGAGAGTATAAATAGATGGGACATTTACATACATATTGTATTCACACTCCTAACATCTAAATTTTTAACATCTTTTCATGTATAGGCAAGGTGATATGTGTAAAAATTGATGTATAGATGCTAATATGTAAATAAATAGAAGTTTAGTGGTATGCATGTAAATCTTCCTAAATAAATTTATAGAAGAACTCATAAGTTGGGAGCCATTAGCTTTCAATGTCAATGAATAGTAGGTGGCAAAAAATATAAATAAATTAAAATATAGTTAGATGTTTATTGAATGAAGCCGATCCCCATGATTAAGGAGGTCCATCATATCTAATTTCAGACTAAATCAAATGACCTATATATATATATACATACATAGTCGCTGACGTATATGCCCTTGAAATTCTCTATTGTTGGTCAGTCGTTGAATTGCCAATCTTCGTCTCACTTTCTCCTAGATTAGCGAGTTGTTTGTCAATTCATTCAGTCATCCTTTTCAGCCCAGTCGGTTGGATCTTCTGATTCGTGCCGACAGATTGCTTTCGATGATTGATTCCTCGACTCGTGCTCATGAAACATACAAAACGTGCTCATATAGAATAGTGATTTTCTCCAAATGAATTCTTTTTAAGAAATTACAGATACAACCTCAAAAATTTTTATATTTATAAAACCAACAATCAAGTCATTTTTAAACTACTGATCCCTTGTATGTAGTTGTTCATGACATGATCAAATCATATTGAATTTGGCAAAAGAAAAGGTTTGAGTTGAAGTCTAATTCTGAATTTGATTTTAGGGTGACATTTTGAAAAATGAATGGAGTGAAATGCTAATTTTATAAATAGCCATGTAATAGTGCTATGCATGTAATTATTATTTATTTATTTATTTATTTATTTAAATAAAAGTCTACTGATTCCATACTTTCAACGCCAAAGCATATAAATTAATTAGACCCACTCCTCAACAAGCATTTACATCATTTGCCATCTACATGCATAAAAAGTAGGGTAATTTACACACACCACACACAATTCTTGTGTATTTATACATCTCACCCCTAAACTTTCATATTTACATATATTTAGCATTTAAAAATAGATAATATTGTTATTTATGATGTGATATTAAAGATTTGGGTCCTACATGAGATATGTACCTACAAAGGAATGTTAAAAAGATAATGTAAAGCTTAAAACAAGTATTAAATTTATATGTATACAAAACAAAATGATAACATTTATAAAATATGTATACATCTATCTTCTCTACGCTTTCGTACTAACAAATCATTTGTATGTCTCACAGGTGGTCTCGAATCGCAGCTCATCTGCCAGGACGAACCGATAACGAGATAAAGAACTACTGGAACTCATATCTCAAGAAAAAAATAATGCAATTAAACCCTAACGATCCCATAACTACATCAAAAGAGCGAAACAACTCCGTCGACCAGAGCTTCAAGTCAGATAATTTTGTATCAGAATACTCCAACAATCAAATTTCCACATCTTCTTGCAGCACCACAGTTGATTATGGAAGCTTCAAAAGCTCTTTCCCCAAGGTTTTGTTTGAGGAATGGCTAAGCCCTCAAGATGTGGGAAGAGATGAATTTGATGGCAATGCCTTGTTTGAGGAGATGCAATCATTGGATATGTTGGGCGAGATGATGGGTGATATTGATATGTGTTATGATTCTATTTTTTGAGTCGTGATGGTGGAGAGAAAATATTACGTTTGTCATCTGGACGTCTGGACGACAGTATGGTTCACACCACGCCTTGCGTCTAGCAGTGTGGTGTGATTCATACCTTCAGCTGCACATCTGATTTACCTGACGTAATAATATTATTACTTAAAGAGTGAAATGATTTAATTACTATATTTACAATACTTTTGAATTGTTTTCATTTTTTTTTAAATCATGTTGGTGAAGAATATGCAATTAGTCACATTTTTTCTACTTGAGTGTGTGAGTGATAAAGTATTGTATATTTTTTTTAAGAATGTAATTATTGATGATTTGTTTGAAAAATGTAATTATTGATGATTTATTTCAAAGTATTTGTGATTGAGATTGTGGTTTAGAAACATTTCTTTATGGAAAATAAATAGGAAATAATTAAATAAATGTGATGGATATATTTGTAATTAAAATTTAATACACAACTTTATTAGTGCTAATTTGGATCATATAATATTTTTTTTTACATTATGTGTGCAGTTGTCCTTGTTTTATATAAGTTTATTAAATATTTTAAATTTATTTTATTTTGCAAATTTTTTAATTTATTTTTTTTTTCTAAAAGAAGTGTTTGATGCTAACAATGATTTAAGATAAAGACTAATAATTATCTGATTTGTTTTTCATCAAAGTAAAGTGTTAATAAAAGGGAAGATTTACATACTTTCCACATAATTCTTATCTTTTTGCATATCTAACAACTTAACTTTGCTATTTATATTTGCAAACTTTGGTGGCATATATTTAAAGCATAAAAAATTGTATTTTTTTTAAAAAAAAATTGATGTTCATTCCTGTGATACAGGGGTGTATCCTGATGATATTGATATTTCCGTGGCACGGACCGTCGACTAGAGTACCTCGCACCATGTTCAGGACTTTAAGTAAATGGTCCGGATAGACGGATTTCGTGTTGGAACAGCTTTGCTCGACAATGCGTAGACAGTTTGGCCTCTCAAAATTTTTTGAGACGCATTTACGGTACCTACGGAGGTCCAAGGATCATTAGCTGCCCACATTCGATCTTTTAGAGGTCCCACAAGGCCCGGAACCCCCTTGGCAAGCTTCTCTAGAAGTCCAATCTTTCTAGGGTCCGGCCTGACCACGCCTAATTTAGGGGTGGCCACACCTATTTAGTGGTGTGACCATGCCTAAACCGAGTGTGGCCACGCCAAACCCACCCCAAAATGCCTAAATGGGCTATAGCCAGTGTGACCACGCCCGAAGCCAGTGTGACCACGCCCGAAGCCAGTGTGATCATGACCGAAGCCAGCAGACCACACCCAATGCTAGCGTGACTACATTGCCAAACAGAGGCTACGACATAATTACGCCTTAATATCAGCGTCACCACGCCCAAATCTTAGCAGGCGTCTGAGTTCGTTGACCAGCGTGACCACATTAGCAAGTGGCATGGTCACGCTTCCCAGACAGAGCGCCTGATGTAATTACAACGGGCCTCCATCTACGACACTTTGAACTATGGTGTGACCACGCTAAAGCAGTCGGTGGGACTGCTTCATGAATTTTGACCCTTCGGTCCCTTGTCCATCTTCTTCTTATTGGTTCTTCACCCAAATAAGGCAATAAGAGATATGTTAAGGCAACTCAAGTCTATATCGGATTGTTTCCTTGAGACCTCAAATATACCTTATAACCATTTGACTATTTGTCTCACTTAAATTATTTCGTGCACTCAGCTGGTGGAATTGCTCGGTGTACTCACTAATAGTTCAGTGACCTTGTGTACAATGCCGATATTAAACATATACTATTTGCTCAAAATCAACCGGTAGAACATGTCCTCTAAGGAATTGTTTCATTCTATACCTACTTTTCACATTATCCTTTCCTTCTAGATTGCACACTACATATTTGACTTGATTTTAGCAAGAATATCTAAATTCTATCTCCACCTTTTTTCAGTATTGTTATATATATCCCTATTCTAGTATACCATACTTTGTCCTAAGGACAGAATAAATTTACATATTGCAAGACTATAAATGGAAGGGTAATAATAGAAAGTAAAAGTATAATGTTATGGAGTCTCGCAGAAGCCAAAATGTTCCACATCAAAAAGGAATTACAAGGTATTGAATGCATTCAATTTTGTGTGATTATAGCTAAAAAATATTAGAGTAATATGGAAATGTGATGACAATGACTACTCGATGGCAGCGTCAAGTGATGTTAGTTGGATGATGATGATGAGCAATAATGGTTAAATGAAGGTGATTAGATAATGATAATCGAGCAATGATAATTGGGTAATTGTTTTTGGGTGATTGTATATGGATGACTGGAGTCTTACTAAGACAATCAGTAATAAAAGTAGAGCATTGGCGATTGTTCGTGGTGACAGTCGTCGCCAAATATCAGGTAGAGCTGTAGAATCTTTTATATCGTGCTCTCACTTCTTAAGATGTCATTAATGGGGTCCTTTTAAATTTGTTAGCACTTTTTTTTCTTAATTTGGCAAAAATCATGGGTAACATTATTAGATGATGTGTATTTATTTTTTTATAATAAATTATTTTTAGAGCTTTTATTTCTTTTATGATCTCAATATAAAGTTATATTGAGTATTAGATTCCTTTTATCAAGCAGCTTGCTTTACCTATATTTCAAATGATTGATAAAGAATAAGCTACATGATCCATATTATAAATGGGGTTAGATAAATTGAGTTTGATAGGGTTCAATTTAAGAGTCATATATTTTAAATAATATTAAAAATGATTAATGTTCGAACCAAATTTATTCAGGTCAAATCAACTTTAGGTCAAGTGTGAGTCCAACCCATCAACCCGAATTGACAACTCTGCTATTTAGTCGTATTTTTTATAAAATTATAGATAGAATTTTAATTTACACTATTAACAATGATTGTTTAAGAAAAATGCCATAATATAAGAAGCATGAATTAAGCAAATACTTTTAGTCACAATAATGGAAAATATGGTAGTGCTTAAGAAATGTTTGCTAGCATTTGTGGGGGATAAAAAGAATAGTTATCATTGAAATTTCAAGAAATTTTCGTGTACATAAAAAATACGTCAGCACAAATTACTCAAAATTGAGTATCATAGAAGTCTTAATCGAACTTCCTAACGAACTCATTCACAAGCATTAAACGATATTATTTATGTTCATAAATGAATCGAACAACTAGTTGTTGAAATTTATTCATTTAACGATCAATTATTTATAAAAATGTTCAATCTCATTTGATTATTTAGTTAAATAAATATATAAATAATAAAAAACTTTAATTGAATAGAGCCATACTTAGCTTATCCCATCACAATTTGGCATAGCCTAAACGCATGTGAATTTCAAGGTCTATTAAAATGAGCTTTAATAAAGTGACATAACCTATGAAACACACAACAATCTCTTTTTCTTTATTAGTTGGAATAGTCATAGGCATAAAAGGTTCATATTCTCCAAATGCAATTTTGCCCTTTACAAATTTTCCTTGTAGGCCAACCCAAGAGGTGGAATGTCTAAATTTAAAAAAAATAATAATAATTAAACAAAATAATGAGAGTGTTCTGATAAATATGAGTCAAAATAGAATAATCCTACTATCCTCACATATACCACACGAGAAATATTTGTGTATGTCTAACATTAGCAGAGCTGCGTACTTCGGTAAGTTACAGAGAGGGTATTTGTAAGTTATAGATAAGTGTTCAATCTCACATATACCCCCTATATCCTCCTTTTAACCTATCTATAACTAGTTAATCTCGCGCTTCTATTTTTATATATTTGTAAGTTATAGATAAGTTACATATAGGTTACAGAGATGTTACAGAAGGATATAACGCGGATATAACCCTCCAATACTCTCTTTGTGACCTACCGACGTATGCAGCTCTACGTACATTAGACGTACGCAAATATTTCTCCACACAATGTCTATATTTGAATGTTATAAATGTAAAAGTCAAAGGCATGCAATTGCATTGGAATTTTGTTGAACGCCTAGAGTGAACCAAGCCAATCATCCGCACCAAACGTGGCAAAAATCTTCATCATAAATTAACTAATTTTTTATTCAAAACGTATTTATTTGCAGGCTTGAATCAGCCATTTTTTTTTTATTAAATAATCGAAAATTTTAAAAATTCTAAATAATATTTTAAATTTGAGATATTATAATAATATTCTAATTTAAAATGAAAATAGATGAATTTATTATTTTTTTAATGAAAATAGGAATTGCAATGGCAAAAGAGTAATTTAAATAGACACTGGAATTTAAAAAAAAATGCAAATCTTTATTAATTGTAAAAACAAATTTTAAAAACATATATATTCCTTAAACATATTACAATAATTAGAATAACAAATAAATTAATTTTTTTATATTACATAATATATTTATTATAAATATTAAGCATATATTTACTATTAACAAATATTCATTTATGATAATTTAACAAATGCTAATTACTAAGCACTCAAAACTTTACTTTTTATAGAACATGTCACTTTCTTTCATCAATTTTTAATATACTCACTCAAATATCACAATTTACAGTAAAACCCCAATACTTATTATTTATTTCTATCAAATTTACAATAATTTGATTGTGGCATGTGATTTTATATTTCAAAAATAAGTACCTAAATGCTAATTTTATAAATAGCAATGATACATCATCAATAAATTTCTAACATTTGGCATGAATCTCAATGCATGACACTGATCGCGATGCACTTTTTTGAACAAGAGACATTCAAACGTCAATTAAGAGTCATCTAGAGTTCTGATTTCAGTAAATGTACTGTCAAACTGACCAATTTAACAAGACGGACCTAATGATACAAAAATTGATTTAATTTGAGTCAAATCAAGCTCAGATCAAGACATTCAATCACTTTTAAAAACTTCCCGACATTTTTGGTGGATGTCAAATTTAGTGAGCATATAGTTAAATCGAGCGTCTCGACAAGACGAA